AGCAGTACAGACTGATAGGAAACAACAAAGATGGAGTCAGAGGATCTGGTTCAAGTCCTTGGGCCACAGTCCATCTGCACTAATTAATAATAACCATGCTTATTGAACACTCAGTGTGTACTAGGTGCCATTGTAAATGCTATGAGGTGTGTGCTACAATTATTCTTTTTTACAGACAAAGGAACTGGGACCCAGAGGGGTTAAAAAATTTACTGAAGGTCACATAGCTAGTAAATGGCAGAGTCAGGATTAAACTTCAGCAATCTGGCTCCAGAATTTACACTCTTTACTAATACATAATATTCCCTCTTACATGTGTGATCTTAGGTAAAATCACTTGGCTTCCTTTGGTCTTGGTTTTCTCATTTGTAAAACCAAGTAATAACAATAATGCCTAGCTCATAAGGTTGATACATCACTGGGCATGACATGTATTAGATGTTGATAAGTAAACTAGAAAATAACATTAGAGTGATTAGAAAACATAAAACAGAGCACACTCTGTAAACAATGTTACATAAGATTGAACTCACTGTTATTGTGGCACACATGACTATGGGTAGATATGTGGCACAAAGATACAGAAAGGAGTTATTACCCACAATCAAATATAACCACTCATCACTGTTCATAAAATAACAATCTTTTAAAAATATGCAAAAGAGCTTAATAATGTTTCCAGTGATAAGAGTGTAACTGCAGAAAATGAAGTTATTAGAAGTTTCCCTTTTATTTCTGAGTAGTTGAAGAAGCATTCTACAATATAATCTAAAAGCTTCATCTTTATTATTGCTAGGAAATTAGGTCATTAAAAAAAATAGTACTGGATCTCATCCAGCTGAATTATCCAAAGACAAAACGGCCAGCAGCAGATGTAAGGTTTACATTTATTTTTTAAATTGTGCTGGTTATTATTGAAGGAAAAGTCTTGAAACATTCTTATAACAAATCCCTGGGGGAAGAAAAGGCAAGGTGATTGTGAAATATTGCACCAAGGGCTAGAATCAAAGTCTCAGAAATTCTTCTGGGCCAGAGGTAACCATTACCAGCTATTGCCTTCACAAAGAGGGATAAATTACATACTAGGTTAGTGACAGACACAGAAACAAGAACCAAATTAAACATTTTGATATCAAACTCTTTTGAAGAAGAAACTGCAGTCATCGGTGATTCATTATCCTTCCATATTTAAATTGTTCTTTATTGCAAAAAAATCATTTCCAAATTTTGCTAAGTTTTGGCATGTGCTTCAATTATTTTTTTCTCTAGCAGTTTGGAGTCTCCAAATGTCTGTTTATATATTCTTGTTATTCCATAAGGCGCTATCCTATACCTATCAGTTTGGTTTTTGGTTTTGGTTTTGGGCTGGGTACTGAGTCATTCCCTAGACTATGTCAATTGCCTCCTGATACCTGTATGTTAAGGGTTATTCCCTCCAGGAATGCATCTGAGCTCCTTGGTGCCTCACACATAGTAGGCACTGAAGATGTTTGCTGAATTGACTGAGCAACACCCAACCACTAATGTCTGAAGTGCAGTAAACATTTGTGTACTGTGCTATCAAAAATAATAAAGTTCTGTCTGGCCAAGATGGAGGCATAGGTAGATATACTTTGCCTTCTTGCACAACCAAAAGAAGGATAACAATACATTTAAAATTAAAAAAACCAGAATTCCAAGAAAATTAAACTGTATGGAAGTCTGTCAACAAAGGAGTTAAAGAATATTCATCCAGACCCATAGAAGGGGTGGAGATGAGTAGCCAGGGTGGAGAGAACATGTGACAAGGTGGCAGCTGGAGTACTGGATGAGGTGGCAGCTGGCAGAGCAGGCGGTCACATATTTGCATGAGGATAAACCAGGAAGAACAACTGGGGAGCAAGACAGACCACATAACCCAGGAATAAAGACTGAAAACCTCTGACTGAAAAAACCTACGGGGGTTGAGGCAGCAGGAGAAACTCCCAGCCTCACAGGAGAGTTCACTGGAGAGTCCTGGAATGTACACAAAAGTATCCACCCAGGAATCAGCACCAAAAGGGCCCAATTTTCTTGTGAGTAGTGAGGGAAGTGACTGAAAGCCAGCTGAGAGCTAAGCAAGAAGCATTGTTCCCTCTCAGACCCCTTCCCACACATACAGCATCACAACGCAGCAAAGTGAGTTGCCGACCCTGGCTAAAACCTAAGGCTCTGCCCCTTACTGTGTAACAGGAGTGACGAGACAAAGAAATATGGTCCAAATGAAAGAATAGATCAAAGCTCCAAAAAATACAACTAAACGATGAAGAGATAGCCTATCAGATGCTATCAGATGCAGAGTTCGAAACACTGGTAATCAGGATGCTTACAGAACTGATTGAGTGTGGTTGCACTCAAATAGAGGAAAAAGTGAAGGTTATGAAAAATGAAATAAAGGAAAATGCACAGGGAATCAACAGTGAAGGGAAGGAAACCAGGACTCAAATCAATGGTTTGGAGCAAAAGGAAGAAATAAACATTCAATCAGAACAGAATGAAGAAACAACAATTCCAAAAAAATGAGGAGTGGCTTAGGAACCTCTGGAACAACTTTAGACATTCCAACATCCAAATCATAGGGGTGCCAGAAGGACAAGAGGAAGAGCAAGAAATGGAAAACTTATTTGAAAACATAATGAAGGAAAACTTCCCCATTCTGGCAAAGGAAATAGACTTCCAGGAAGTCTAGGAAGCTCAGAGAGTCCCAAAGAAGTTGGACCCAAGGAAGCACACAGCAAAGGAGATCATAATTACATTACCCAAGATTAAAGATAAGAAGAGAATCTCAAAAGCAGCAAGAGAAAAGGAGACAGTTACCTACAAAGGAGTTTCCATCAGACTATCAGCGGATTTCTCAAAAGAAATCTTGCAGGCAAGAAGGGGCTGGAAAGAAGTATTCAAAGTCATGAAAGGCAAGGACCTACATCCAAGATTTCTCTATCCAGCAAAGCTAACATTTAGAATGGAAGGGCAGATAAAGTGCTTCCCAAATAAGGTCAAGATAAAGGAGTTCATCATCACCCAGCCCTTATTACATGAAATGTTAAAGGGACTTATCTAATAAATAGAAGAAGATAAAAAATATGAACAGTAAAATGAGAACAAATTCACAAGTATCAACAACTGAATCTGAAAAAAAAGCCAAAAACAAAAATGAACTAAGCAAACAACTAGAACAGGAACAGATTAATAGAAATAGAGATCACATGGAGGGTTATCAGTGGGGAGGGGCAAAGGGGAGAATGAGGGAAAAGATACAGGGAATAAGAAGAATAAATGGTAGTTACAAAATAGACAGGGGGGTGGTTAAGAATAGTATGGGAAATGGAGAAGCCAAAGAACTTACATGTATGACCATGGACATGAGCTAAGGTGAGGGAATGATGATGGGAGGCAGGGTACAGGGAGCAGGAGAATAAAGGGGAGAAAAAATGGGACAACTATAATAGCATAATCAATAAAATATATTTGAAAAAATAAAATAAAATTTTTTATGCTGATAGAGCTACTAAAGACTGTGTTTCTTAAAACACCTTAAATTATTTTCTTAACCACTAATCCATGAGTGAGTGAAGAAGGTAATATTTAGTCACAAAATAAATAACCAATATCCCAAAAGAACGTGTACTTTCTTAGAAGTTATTGATCTAACTTGTTTTTAATATTTGTTAAGCTTAGTAGTACTTCTTGCTATAATTTGTGCCTTAAAAAAGGAAGCTTTTGTGTGTGTGTGGTATTTTGTTTTATTGAGACCAGTTACAACACCATCACAATGATGAGAAGAAATTTGATGAGACCACAAGTTAAGGCAATGGTGTGGGGTAGGGTGAGATGGAGGGAAAACATTCATGATGCAGGAGATAAAATCAACAAGGCTTAATGAGGGAGACAAAGAGGTCTAGGAAACTTCTGTGATTCTGGTTCAGGCAAGTAAATGCAATAATAGTGATCTACACTAACTAAGAGAGGTAATAAAGGATAAGTTTTAGGGCAAAATAATGAATTCACTTTGGGACCTCTTAAGTATGAGATGCCTGAACACATATGGGTGAGAGGTACAAAAATAAATGCACAGATTTAAGTATGCATGCAGAATTCATCAGAGGGCCTGGCTTAGTGAGGAGGCTTCAGGACTTACTGGAAGGTAGGCTAATGAAAACCAAGGTGGTGGATGAAGTCTTTTGGTAGAGTGGACTGAAATGAACTTTTTTCTAAGGGAAGGGGCAGAGAAGCACTAGTAAGGTAGGAGGAAAACTGTAGATGTACATGGTGTCATCTAACACAAGGACAGCATAGCTGATGAGAGTGCAAGATAAAGAGTAAAAAATAATCACTGAATCTGGGAATTGGGAATCACTGTAACTTCAGAATGCACCATTCAGTAGAACAGGTGAAGCGAAATCATTTCCCAGTAAATGTGTGTAGAATGGATAACTTACTGTGATCCAAATAATGAAATGGTACTCTAAATATTTGATTAAATGAAACTAGGAAGTTGTCCAGCTCTCCCATTTCTGTCTTTCTAATTCCTAATGCATGATGGTAACAGATTTTGCTTTAGGTTGATGTAACTGACAGCCCCAGGTTTCATATGTTTGGGTTTTTTTTTTTTTGCTGTGTTTCTACTTAATACTTTCTCTGACTTTGAGGATAATTAGTGTTTAGAATCAAAAAGATTCCTCCTGCTATGAAAGCCTCTTTCTGGGGAGAAGGGTGTGAAGTAAACCTCATAAAATTGAGAACTTCATTATTTATTCCTCCAGTTGCCTGTATTTTTTTCTAGATTTTAATCAGACTTCAGTTCAAGGCACTATACCAAAGAGGAACTAAATTAAGTTAATGATTAGTATATAGAGCAAACAGAGAAGTTTATCACCTTCAAATTTCAAATATGTCAATGAGTCTTAAAAAGCAAGACAAACAGGATAATTAAGAGATTAATATATACCAAAAGGACACAGAACAAGACTAGATTACCTCACATGGAGTTCTGTAACATTCTGCAGCTTTTGATGTGGCTATTTCAGGGCATGGCTCGTAGTAATCATCAAATGAGATTTTAATTGATCTGAAAATATAAATTAAAATCAGACAATAAGTAGTTTGCAAGTTTGTTTATCTAAATTATTTTATCAGAGTGAACTGTTTCAGACAATATTTTGTCACAAGACATTGAACCGATTTGTAGTTAACAAATCAAACACACTAATTCCTCCACTAATATACAGAAATCACAAAAAAGAAACCTGTCCAAGTAATTTTTCAATAATACATGTAAATGTGCACCCATGTGTATATTATAAAAAGAAAAATATAGAGTCAGGTTATTTGTCTTTTATGGCCAACTACCTGTACATTTTCTATCTATAATAAATAACTTTCTTAAATTTCTATGCCAAATTTTAGAAAATTATTTATTTGTGTTTAGAGAGAGGGGAAGGTAAGGAGAAAGACAGGGAGAAACATCGATGTGAGAGAGAAACATCAATCGGTTGCCTCTCTCACACATCCACATAGGGACTGAACTCACAACCTAGGCATGTGCCCTGACCGGGAATCAAACCCGTGACCTTTCAGTTTGCGGGATGACATCCAACCAACTGAACCTCACTGGTCAGGGCTCTATGCCAAATTTTAGTAAAATCACCTTTATTTCTTTTTTACTATGATGATAAATGAAACACTAGAATTGAGCTTAGTTTAATTTTGACACTGAATCTGGCCATTTTTAAAAGAGGAAACAACTCTTTTCAATGGTTCCTACCTGAATTTTTCCTTCCCAGTGCTAAAACTATGTCCTGATGGGAAAGCAAAGATTGTTATAAAGTATTAAACAGGAATTGTGAAATACTCTCTTAAATAACTGCCTTTCCAATGTATTTTTCTACAAGCTTTTCCATTGCAGACATTTTCAACATTCTACAAACAAAACATTACTTTGTGCTATTTTTCAGACATGGGAAATCACCGATTGACTGGCTTAGATGTTTAAACATCAAATGTAAAAGACCTTATGTCTGTGTTCCATTTTAAGTTCCTAGCTGTTTAGAGGAAGAAGCAACTTTTCAGTTAGAATATATCTACTGGCACTAATTTTTATAGGTGGTTTAAAGGCAATATTTGACTAAATTTTGAAATGAATGGCTCAATATCTAAATGTGTTAATGCATTTGTCTATTTAAATGATAATTACAGACACCCAATTTTAAGACTAACATTTTAAAATGTGTTATTACTTTGCAATCACATATAAGTAGAAACCTGAAACTTGGTGAAGATAAATTAATCACTACTATTATTGCTTCCAGAGCTACATGCAGTGCTTTCCACTACTAAATGATATACTAAACTAACATTAATTTCCCAAAGAAATGTTTCGGCGTTTGGCAATGGAGGTAACAAAATGAAAGGCTGCATTATATTTCCTGCATGAAAAAGCTTGTGATCAATTTGCTGTCACAGATCATTTAGCAGACAACAATGACCCAAGAGGAAGGAAACTGTCAACACACTGTCTCGTGAAAAAAAATACACGATCTTCAGGCACAATCGTCTCCATTGTTTTTTGTCTGTTTGACGATGACCCCTGACCCTCTCCCTTCCCAACAGTGTCCTGTTCAATTTCAAACTGTTAGCCTTCAGGGGCTTTCTTTTCTTTCCCCAGAATAATTAAAAATATTACCCTAGAAGGTATAACTTTAGTATAGTTTGAATATACAAAGCAGAATGCCTTAAACACTTGGGAATATTTGCATTTTCAATTCTGTAAAGGAAACAGCCACTTAAAATAAGAGAATAGTAACTATTTTACTACTATTCAGATAAACTGCTAAGTTTATAAGCATATACACAGTATAAGAAATACACGAGTTTACAGTTTCAAGCAGTAGCAGGACTTTATTGAGCATTATCATTGGCATACTGAATATGAAAAAGTAGAAGACATGATTTTTATGGGAAAATAAGATGTATTCCTGGACTAGTAAATAGAATAGCTTTACATATTAACATCATCAAGTGTTACATCACTTAACACAGCCATTTGGAGACTATGATGGCCATGGCAGTAAGCAGGAAATGTTGGAAGAGGGAGATATAGCTTTGCTTTGGAGACATTAGGCAAAGTGTCACTTGGAATATGGACCTGAAGCCAAGGGAAGAGGCATTTTAGGCCAGGGGAACATTATTAGCAGTAAATAGCTCATATGGGGAGAAGCATCATGTGTACATAATGTACATACAGAAGAGGTTGGGGAAAGAGATGATAGTACCAAGATAATTGACTAGAGTGGAGAGTTCCAATTCCAGAGGCCTTGGAATTTGATGAAAGAAGTGAAACTGGGCATTGCAGGGTCTTTTATTTTGGCTTAGGCAGAGAATGGATTAGTTGATTCAGTAATCTTGATATATTAGGTGATGGAGAGCAATCAGAAGTTCTCGAATAAGGCAAGCAAATTATGAAATCAGTATGTAAGGTTTTTTTTTCTGGCATTAGTATGCAGGGTGGATTATATGGGAAATTAAACAAATGTGATAATTCAGGCAAGAGATACGGAGAGCTACTACAAGGGTGGGAGCAAAGGTTACAAAGGGGAGAAGATGAATCAATGGTAAAGAATTGACTGGACTGGTTGCCTGATAGGGTGTGAAAGGTGAAGGAATTTGAGGGTCACATATTCTCCTAAAGCCCAGAAGACTGGTTAGTTTTGCTATTAATAGAAAGTGTCTAGAGAAACTGAAGTAAAATATGAGTTTAATTTTAAACACAGGTTTTAGGTGATGACCTTTAGGAGTGTGATTGAGAAATTGAGACTGGAAATAAGAGATTTGGGTCAAATCAACATAAAAGTTGATAGATGATGCCATTAGGGAAAACAAACTCCAAAAGAGTAATTAAGTGTTTAGAAAAGAAAGAGCAGAAACCAATTCATAGTTAAGAGGAGACAGAGAAGAAAACAAAGGATAATTAAGAGGAAAAGAGAACTGTGGTAGTGATATTTCAGGGAAGCAACATCTCAGCCATAACAAAGTCTAATGATTAAATCCTTACATGTCTCTGGATATTCAGTCATGTGGTATCAGGAGTACAGGCTGTGGAATCACCTGCCCTGACTGCAAACACTCTGGCACTGTGACTTATTAGCTGTGTGACTTGGGGCAAACTCCCTAAACCCTCACTCCTATTTCCTCAACTACAAAATTAAGAGATAGAATTTCTCCAGTGTTTCTTGTGAGCATTCAGTGAAGTCATCCATAGAAAGAGCCATGTAGGGGATTTAGCACCCCTCAGCCCTCAGTGTCAGCGGCTTTCCTGAACTGACTCAGATAAGTACCTCATTATTTCTCTCCCACAAACTCTAAACAGCTTCCTAATTGTTTTTCTATGTCAGTATCTCCCTACTCCAGGTCATCATGCCTCTATTTGAAAACCACAATTTGGTTATCTAATTCTATAGGATGAAATCTAAACACTCAAATATAACTCCAGGTTCTTCATCATCAAGCCATTTCCAACCTTTACTTCCACCATCCATCCGCACATCCAGAGGTGTTATCACATGGAACTTCCTGATGACCCTGCATATGCCATAATATTACATTTCTGTGTCTGTGCAAGCAGTTCTAGCTAGAGACTCTTTTGCTCTCTGTGCTGTCAAACTCTTACTTATCAAGGTTCTGATCCAATAAAATTGTCATGTATGTGAAAGTTGTCACAGTGGACATTGTGGTTGCCCCCCAAATAATTAGTTTGTTCTCCCATTTTGTATATGCCATTCAGTCTGATGGAATTGACCTCATACCTGGCTCCAAGTCAGGGCCTGATGAATTTAGGGCTGTCTGACAATAGTGACTAGTTTAGGAATAGGAACCTAAAAAGATCCAGTCAGAGAAAAATTTATTCTAACATTCTAGTACATCTTGATATCTAGGAGTATCAATCCTTTGTTCTTCAAGGCTGCCTTGCTATTCTAAATTTTTTGTATTTCTAAATACATTTTAGAACCACCTTGTTAATTTGCAGTAAAAAAACTGATGAGATTTTGAGACTGAATTGGATCTGTTCATTAATTTGGGAAGAATTGGCATTATAATAATGTTGACTCGTCACAGTCACAAACACTGTATATGTCTATTTCTTTAGGTTCTTAAAAATTTCCCCCAGATTTATTTTGCAGTTTTCATTATAGTTGCCTTAGTCATCTTTGTTAAATTTTGTTGTTGTAATGGTATTTTTAAAATTTCACTTTCTATGTACTGATGGCTAGTATATAAAAACTTAGTTGACTTGTTAATGGTTATCTTGTATCCAGGGCTGTTGTTGAATTTATTTATTAATTTTTAAGCTTTGTATATTCATTTGGATTTTCTTATGTAAATAATCCTGTTTTCTGTGAATGAAGATAATTTACTTCCTTCTTTCCAAACTTTATAACTTATTTCTTTTTCTTGCTTCATTGCACTGGCCAGTATAGTGTTAAGTAGAAGTGGTGATGATGGGCATACTTGTCTTGTTGCTAAACTCAGGAGAAAAAGCGTTCAACATTTCACATTTGAGTATGAAGTTGGCTATTAGATTTTTGTAGATACCCTTTATTGGAGTAAAGGAATTCTCTTCCATTCCTAGTTTGCTGATAATTTTTTTATCATGAATAGGTGTTAAATTTTATCAAATATATTTTCTGGATTTACTGAGATCACTTTATGTTTTTTTCCTTTATTTGGTTAACATGGTGAGTTACACTGAATTTTCAAATTTAACCAACCTGGCTTTCCTGAAATTAAGCCCACTTAATCATGACATATTATCACTTTTTATGTGTCAGTGGATTCAATTTGCTAAGATTTTGGTTAGATTTATGTATCTGTGTTTACAAGAGATAATGGTGTATAATTTTTTGCTTGTAATGATTTCATATTTCAGAATCAGAGTTTGGAAATTTAGAAGTATACCCATTTTCTCTATTCTTTGAAAAAAGTTTTAATACCTTTTTAAAAATTTGTTTTACTTTGTAATAAGTTTAGATTTATAAAAGAGTTGTAAAGATAGTTGACTGTTTTTTTTTAAATTAGCTTAAAGCATAATTTGCCTTCAGTAAAATGCATATTTTAAGCATATGGATTAATGACTTTTGACAAAAGACTACATCTGTACAACCACAAGCCCAAACAAGATATAGAATATTTTCATTACTCCAGAAAGTTGCCTACTCCCCTTCACAGCCAATCACCCTTGTCACTTTGTGCAATCACTGATCTCATTTCTATCACTATAGATTTGTTTTGCCTGTCTTAAAACTTCATATAAATTGAATCATGTAGTGTGTGCTCCTTTGATTACTCTGGATTCTTTTATCTACTCAGTATAACATCTGCTTTACCATTCCATGTTCTTGCATTTATCAACAGTTCATTCGTTTTTATTGCCAATAGTATTCCATTTATGAATATAACACAATATATTTATATAGTCAACTGTTGATGGACATTTTAGCTTTTTCCAGTTTGGGATATAATGAATAAAATTCCTGTGAACATTTGTGTGCAAGTATTTTTGTAATATGTATTTTAATTTCTCTTAGGTAACTATTAGGAGTAAAATCACTGGATCACTGTGTAGGTGAATGTTTAATGTTACAAGAAACTTCTGAATTGTTTTTTAGGCTGGCTTTGGGATTGTCAAATGATGCTATGTTTACAGAGATATAGGGGAGCCCCAGTGACTCTGTGTTCTCACCAGCAACTGGGATAGTTGATTTTATGCAGTGGTATGCTCTCCCAATCTCCCCCATCTCAGTAAATGACAGCAATACCCATCCAGTTCCAACTAAAATCTAATAATAATTCTTGATTCCATTTTTCTCTGATACCCTCCATCTAATCAAACCAAGCCTTAAATTCATCCACTTTTCTCCCTCTCTACATCTCATGACCTCAACTATGCCCTCAACCCTAGCCCAAACCACCATCATCTCTTCCCTGGTTTACTCAAATAACCTAATAATTCTCCTTGCTTCCACCTTAGATTCTTCACAATCTGTTCCCCACATGGCTATTAGAACAGTCCTTTTAAGATGTAAATCTCATGGCATCTTTCCCTTCTTTAAAGCTGTGCAACTGTGTCCCAATTCCTATGGCTAATCTAATCAAATTGAAATTCCTTACCTAGTTTATAAAGGCCTAAATGATAAGGCCCTACTGACTTCTCTTACCTCATTGCCTACCCCTCTCTTCTTTTCTCCTTGCTGTGTTTCAGCTATGGTGGCTTTCTTTCTGGTTCACTAACACCATGCTCATACGCAATTTAGGGTCTAGGAGGGGGAGGGAGGGGCAGATGGAGAGATAAAAGGAAAGGAAGGAGGGGAGAGGATGGAGAGAGAGAGATTTGTTGTTCCACTTTTTTATGTATTCATTGATTGATTCCTGTATTTGCCCTGACCAGGGATGGAACCCACAACCTTGGCATGTTGGGATGATGCTCTGACAAACTGAGTTACCTGGCTAGGGCTTGAGTCAGTTCTGATTAAAGTTATATTTAGATCATTCTCCCAGACCCCAAATTTTGTTCTCTTGTCATCAGAGCTGTCTCCTCTTCAGAGGAGAGTTTCCAATTTTAGCTTAAAAATCTTGTGAGGTCGGAGATCATGTATTATTCAGTTGTGCAATCCCAACGCTGTAACACAGCACCTAGCACAGAACATATGTTGAGTGAATGCATTTTAAATAAGTGAAAAAATAGCTGCTCTCCAAGAGGCTGCCCCTTATTGTATCAAATGATATCCTACAGACCATGGGTAAACCTCCCAGATGACCAGCACAAGCTTAAATCACCTTCAATTACTGAACGTCAGCTGGATTCCCCTGACTATACTCTTCTTACCCAGTTGACTGGACTTCACCTAAGTTTTGTTATGCCCTTCAAAAACAGGGTTTCAATCACCTAGCAATGTCTCTGGAATCATTTCTACAGCCAAGTCAGTTCTCCCAGCTCATTATAAAATTCTAGCCTGAGGTGCTAGTATGACAATACAAAGAGAGCTTCTCTCTTGGAATTTCTGCAAGACCTCATTGTGAACACTCTTATTGTAAAAATTAAAAGCTAGACAGAATTGAGCCTTATCCCGTATATATCAGGGTGAATATCAGAATTCACAGCTACAGAACAAATTGTAGCCTGATTATGTACTGGGAGTTTAGGCATCATTGAAATCCAGATCGTATTTCATCATTTGTGTTCTGGAGATTGCTCTAGTGATTTCAGGCGAGCACTAGGTGAACATCGCAGATCAGGCCTGATTCTGGCTTCATTTATCCTTGGTTTGGTTCAGAGGACCTTCTGAAACCGGGACCAGAGAAGTCTTTATGTTCTGTTCTTACTGCCTCATTAGTAAATGCTGGCACTGTACCTTCATGTACTACAAATAATTACACTCCAAATTCAAAGAACTTTGTGATATCTAGGGATGTTCATATTTTACAGGGATGTTCATGCATTCAGCACCTGTTTATCATGGGTCTATTCAGTGCCAGGATGGTCACTTACTTCTCTCCATATTGACAAGTTTAAGGGCAGCAATGTTGTCTACCGAATCCCAAACTAGTGTCCAACTCACTAGATCATGTTATCTTCCTGCAATTTTTTCAACACTTCTACAAACAGAAGCCACTTGGGTCACTTAATTTTACTCATCTTCAGGGCTATTCAAGGAAATCTCAGCTGAAGTAAACATTATTTCAACATCAATTAATTGGTTTTCTACATCTGATTAACTGTTAGATTAAGGCTGAAGGAAATGCTGAAGGAACTGATGATGAGAATACTGACCTCCTTCATGTGTTCAAGGCTGAACTGATACAATATTGTCAGGTTGTCTCCTACCAGTGGCTTCGGCCCTAACTCTCACCACTTTCCTCTAATATCTATCTTCTGAAGTGCTTAGATTTTTGCTCTCTATAGTGGTTTGTGCTTATTATGTTCACAACATACTTTCTCTCTTCAATAATAAAAAATAAAAATTAAAAGAATAGGCAAGTTCATATAGTAACATTCAATATTAATTCAATAGTCTAGAAAGAATTGAACAACTTTCCACATTCATCCTGAAGATATTTTAAACATGTATTGTGAAAGATGTCTACTTCCTTTTCTGAGTAAAAAAATTTCAATTATGAAAGACAGTGTAAATAGTTTAAGAAAATAGTCCTTTTAATAAATAAATTGACATAGAATTGTATGAAGGAAAACTTACCTGATACATTTATCTGAGTGTCTAGATAACTCAGAGCTATCATATTTCACTGTAAAAAAAAAGAGAGGAAAGATATAGTTTACTTGGAAGATTAATACATGGCTTTAATGTGCACTCATTCTGAAGCCTCAATAAAATGGTAATAAAGAAATAAAAATAAGGTATAAAACCTCAAGGAGAGCAAAAGAAAGATGGCAAGAAAATTTTTCAAGATGGAAAGCAGATGTCAGTGGTAACTGTCTTAGCAGACTGTAGAAATTTGAAACCCAACCACACGATGAGGGGAGGTCAAGGAAAAGCAAGCAGATTTACACTTCAGATCTTGAGAAGCGATTCTAAAATTGCAGGTACCAGATACCTGTGAAGGGTGAGAGATAGCATAGTCACCCAAGATGTATACCCTCTTCCTATGCAACCAGATGATCACCACTGCCCAGGTAGGAGGAAGGATTTTTAATCTCTGGGAAAACTGAGCCAGAGACTCAAGACTGGAGGACACTAGGCACAAAGCAGAACAAGAGTATAGTAAGGGACTGAAAGTAGTGAAAAAATCATACTGAGTGTATAAGATGCCTACTCTCTCGCCCTGTCCAGCTCCCAGAGTATAAGCAGCTAGCATCTCTCTCCAGGAACAAAATGGAAGGTTTATCTCAGGGGAAATAGTCAAGCCTACTAATGACAACTAATGGTATCATCCTCCACTGAAAAACCAACATGAAACAAAACTGACAAGTACAGTCAGTACTTACATACTTCCAACTGCTTTCCATGCATCATATGTCATCATTCACAAAGAGATGGATAATAGAGGAGAAAACAGATTTTTTTAAAAATTAGAGCATCAGCTCAGTAGATCCCACATCCAAATATCTGGATATTTAAGAGAAAGAACAGAAAATAAAGGGAAAATAAATGATAACGAGTTACATCAGAAAAATTTCCAGAACTAAAGGATTAGCATTTTTAGAATGAGATTTAGCCCTGGCTGGTGTGGCTCAGTGGATTAAGCACTGGACTGCAGAGCAAAAGGTTGCTAGCTCGATTCCCAGTTGAGGCACATGCCTGGATTGCAGGCCCAGGCCCCAGTAGGGGGCACATGAGAGGCAACCACACATTGATCTTGTCTTCTCTTTCTCCATCCCTTCCCTTCTCTATATAAATAAATAAAATATTTTTGGGGGGGGGGCTAAAATTTTTATTTTTTATTATTTTTTATTTTTTTTAATCATTATTCAAGTACAGTTTTCTCCCTTTTACTCCTAATCCAGCCCACCCACCCAACCCTACCCACTTCCCTCCCATTTCCACCCTCCCCCTAGTTTTTGTCCATGTCTCCTTTAAATTTGTTCCTGTAAACCCTTCCCATTGTGCCCTGAAATTCCCTCACCTCTCCCCTCTGGTCACTGTCAGCCTGTCCTCTATTTCTGTGTCTTTGGATATATTTTGCTTGTTTCTTTGTTTTGTTGTTTAGGTTCCTGTTAAAGGTGAGATCATATGGTATTTGTCTTTCACTGCCTGGCTTGTTTCGCTTAGCATAATTCTTTCCAGTTGCATCCATGCTGTTGCAAAGGGTAGGACCTTCTTCTTTCTTTCTGCTGCGTAGAATTCCGTTGTGTAAATGTACCATAGTTTTTTGATCCATTCATTTACTGATGGGCATCTAGTTTGCTCCCAGCATCTAGCTATTGTAAATTGTGCTGCTATGAACATTGGGATGCATAGGTTCTTTTGGATTGGTGTTTTAGTGTTCTTAGGATAAAGTCCCAGCAGTGGAATTGCTGGGTTAAAAGGCAGATCCATTTTTAGTTTTCTGAGGAAGTTCCATACTGTTTTCCATAGTGGTTGTACCAGTTTTCAGTCCCACCAACAGTGCACGAGGGACCCCTTTTCTCCACAACCTCTCCAACATTTGTTTGTTGCTCTGTTTATGATGGCCATTCTGACTGATGTGAAGTGATATCTCATTGTGGTTTTAATTTGCATCTCTCTGATAGCTAGCGATATTGAACATCGTTTCATGTGTCTTTGGATTTTCTGTATGTCCTCCTTGGAGAAGTGTCTGTTCAAGTCCTTTGCCCATTTTTAATTGGATTCCTTGTGTTCTTAGAGTGTAGTCGTGTAAGTTCTTAAATAAATAAAATATTTTAAAAAATAAAATGAGATTTAGACAGCCTATCAAATGCCTTATATATGAACAAGGAGGGGAACCCCCCAAGAAAAAACTACACTAAGAAACATTATCAAGAAATTTCAGATCACTGGGAATAAAGAGAAGATTTCAAAAGCTTCCAGAAAGAAAACATATCATATCACATGTGAAGAATTGGACATCTTGAATGAAATCAGGCTTCTCAAGAGAAACACTAGAAACAAGAAGGCAACAGGGTCTTCTCAATTCCGAAACAAAATTATTTCTGAATTAAAATGTTACCAAACTGTGACCATAAAAGACTGAAATGAATACAGTTTTAGACATGCAAAATCAGAAGAGATTTAGCTCTCATGACTAGGAAGCTCCTAGATGTGCTCCAACAAGATGAAGGGGCAAACCCTCCACGCGGAACACAAGGGATCAAGCAGGAGCTTCTTCCAAAGGGCAGGCAAAGGGGGTCATGGCAGGATGCCTGTGAGAGAGCTGCCAGGTCAGAACTGGAGGCAGAGGAGGGTCACAGGAACGAAGTCTCCAAGGGAAATGCACCTGACTGAATGTCTGGGAGTTGTTTGACAGCTTTGTCACAAAGTTTAGGGGAAGAACAGATGACAGATATGTGAAAACAAACAAGGGAGTGAAAAATTGAGGCATTTGTACAAAAAAAAAGAAAAACAATAATTCATGGCTCCTCTGTGACAAATATTTACTAAGTCATATTAATGTAACCAAACTAAATTAGGAGAATAGGGAACAGACAATGCAGGTGGAAATGGCAGTATAAAAGCTGAATCTTTACAGTTCAGGACACACCCATAAGTAATACCTAAAACTGAAAATTCCAGGAATATTGGCATAGAATAAATTTAGAAAGATAATGGTAAATTCTGGAAGAAGCAGCTAAATGTGTTGAAAGCTATTGGTACTTTGTGGGGATGGGGGAGGTACTCAGCAATGCAAGGTGTGGGCTGCCAAGGTCAGCTATATTTTATTAAAAATTGATTTTTATTATTTGCCCTTTAAAGCTATGAACATATATTTCTTTGATAGAAAAGAAATACTTAACATTTTTAGTTAAAAAACAATTTAGAGGCTTTGCTAAAATGTTGGCTATCTGATGAAACGAAATACAAAGAGGAAAAAAAGAGGTCTGTAATTCCAGCAAATAAAACCACACATGCAATCCTGTTAAACTCAGGTTTTCTGTGTCTCCTGACAACTGTAAATGATGGAATAGCTGTAACAATACTGTAATAGTCATCAGCAACAAAATAGGGCTGAATGATGGCACTAGAGCTTGTGTTCTTCAACTGAATTTCTACTGAGCTAAATTTCTTTTTTCTCTGACATCCAGAAAATATTTTCCCCCAGTGCAAGGGGTATTACACAGCAACAATGGCAAGAAGTACTCCCTCTAAAAAGAAAATAAAACAATACCTACAACCCCATGAGACTTTACCTGCTTCAATTGTGGAAATAATTTTCTTTAAAGATGTTCTATTGTTAGGAGAATTTAAGAAAGTGAATATGGGAGCCTGAATTGAAGAATCAAATGCTTATCACATCTTCCTAACTACATGAAGAATGAGATGTATTTGCCATAATTATCAAGCTTTTAAAAGTATATAATGTTAATTAGTATTATAATCTTCCTAATATTTCTATAATTTTCTATTATAACTCTATTATAATGTCTGTCAGTTATTATATTGTAGTTTATTTAGATAAGTATCTGAAACTTATTAGCATGACCTTCATTTACTTAACAAAAGCTATAGGAATATATCTGGCTAAGAGGAAAGTTAGTACCTTAGGCTTCCCTACTGTTAGTATTTTTATACTCTCATTTTCTCTTTCAACCAAAGATTTTTTAAATCATGTAAATCTTATATTTTAAAATATCAAAACAAATGTGATAAATAGGAGATAAATATTATTCGACCATATTACCACATAGAAATAAAAATTTGCTAAGACAGACTGGAAAAAAAGGGGGGATTTATGAGATTAATGTAAAAATCTGTTCATAACAAGTTATAAATAGGTAGTAATACTCAGAATCTGGGTGGCAAAATAGTTGTTTTATATCATCTCCTTCCAGACCTTTCTTCTCCTTCCCTGAAGTTTCATAAACAAACTAAGGTAGAAATTGGAGGGTACTTGAAAAATCCCCTTGTCCAACACTGGACATTGAGCAAGTAGCTCTTTGACAACATCCCTGAAAAATAGTCATTAAACTTTACTAAATGAACTCCGGTTATAGAAGCACACAAAAAGGTCTCTCTGGAAAAAGTGCAGTCATTGTTAATGTAACAAGAACAGTTTGCATGACATTGATGTAACCTGGTAGCCAAGAAGAGTGGACTGGAATGCATATGCATAAACAATGAGGACTTCACTGTACTAGTAGTCAGTGGGGGCAATAGATGCCACAGAGTGAGCATGTGTACTGTGTGGCTGTCACACTCAAAATGACTGAGCAAGTAGAGCAATGAAGCTGCATCCAACTTTGCGTTAAGCTTGAACATTCCTCCATGGAAACTATTTGGATGATTCAGAAGGGCACAGCTATGGGCAAATTGGGACTGTAAGCTTCATCATGGCAACGTACCCATTCATGTATCCCATCTTGTGCAGAAATTTTTGTCGAAACATCAAATCACCCCAGTTACTCATTCACCCTACAGCCCAGATTTGGTGCCCTGCGACTTCTGGCTTTTCCCAAAGCTAAAATCACCTTTGAAAGGGAAGCAATTTCAGACTGTTAATGAGATTCGGGGAAATACCATGGGGCATCTGATGGTGATTGAGAGAACTATGTGAGTCCCATAGTGCCTACTTTGAAGGGGACTGAGGTGTCAATGTCCTATGTACAATGTTTCTTGTACCTTGTAGCTTCTTCAATAAATGTCTGATTTTCATTGAACATGGCTGGATACCTTCTGGACAGACCTCATACCTTTAGTGAAAGGGAGTTTCAGTACTTGGCAATGTGGTCTTAACCACTCTTAGGCAACTTGGATTGTTAGAAAATTCCTCCTTGTGTTTGGCCAGCTGGGGCCCAGAATGGCAAGCTATGGTGGCATTTGCTTCTAGGAAAGACCATTTAGGCACTCAGGCAACTATATAATTTATTGTCCAAACTGGAACACAGAATGAAAGGAGATTCTAGAAATAATTATACCAGAACTGCCCCAGGCAGTTTGGCCCCGGAAGAGGCTGTCAGGATACTGGAAGGTCATCAGGACCTCCACCAATTAATTGGGTTTGAGCTCAGGCCTTGGTGTGTTCTTGTCAATATACCGAGGCAAAGAACTAGCTGTTCAGGCGAGGCAGACATGTTAGTGAAAGTTAGGGGGATAAGCGTCATTTGCACATCTGGCTTAGGCTTGGAAATTAATTTTACACCACTGATTATTAGGAAGGAGTCCTCAGCACAGTCAAGGTGCTCTGGGACCGGGCAGGCCCAACTGCGTATTCCAGTCCTCAGTGGCTACACTCCAGAAGGTCTCGGGAAGGTATGACTGATTCATGGCTTTGACATTATTAGTCTTTAGTTTTCTGGAACATCAGAGAAGAGATTTCCTTTTCTATAAGAGATCCCTTCAAATATTTGAAAACAGCTTTTGTAATGCCTTTATCTGTTTTTCTATTAGCTAAACACAGTTTCCTTGGTCATGGAAAATGTGATGCTCCAAACGGAGATGATGGAATTGCAGATGAGGGCCCACCAGACCGGAGAGGGGCAAAACGATCCCTGAAAAAGTGCTTAGTGGAAGGGCACTTCCTATTGGTTCATATTAAGCTTGTGCTTAAAAAGCTGCCCAATAATTTTTTCATGGAAGAGAGTTCTGCTATCAAGTCAGTTCTCTTCCATTCTGTACTCAGAAATTTTAATTCTTTGATCCTAAATGAATGACTTTATGCTCATCCCATTAAACTTGGAGGTGCAGGGGACATGGGCAGGTCCAGCTCGGAGCTGTGGCCTTGGGCTCCATCGTTGATCCTCGGCTTCCTCCCTGAGGGAGAGGTTGAAGGTCAGATCAGTGAACGTGTATGAAAGCATTTTACAACTATAAAATAAAACCAGGATCTAAGTTTATGTACATTTTTTCATTTTCTCATTCTACAAATTGTTATTTAATACCTACAACCACACACTGCATTGGGTACTAAGGATGTACTTCTAGACTACAATTGATGCCTACAGAGATGATACAGTAAGCTGCCTCTTAAGTTTCTTATTTATACAATTAACTATCAGTTTCAGTTTTGAGTGTCTAAAATATAATTATTTCTATGCATTTTCAGATCTATTTATTAATATATAATGTATGAGAGATGATTCTTGCAGCACTTTAGTAGAGACCTTTTTTTAAGTTGTTACAGGTAATTAATTCTCACTGGATGCAGTCTTTCACAGAAATCCACACAGTGCACTACTACCATCTAATCTAGAGTAAATGTGTTTTCTGCATGTATTCATTTCCCACCCATAGCAGCTGTCTCTGCTGTACCACAGCACTCTCTCCCTATGAAGCTGCAGAAAGTCCTCTTTGTGATGCCCTCGGCTAGCACACCTAGTCTACCTGAGATGGCAAGTGAGCTGATAACTATATACTGTCTTGGATTTCCACATGTTTCACCAATGTAACTAAAGAATGTAGCAAAACTCTGCCAAAGTAGTGTCTGTTTTGTTGCTCATCTGCTGGGTGATTTCACTATTTGGTTAGCTTTTCTGCGTGGTTTGATGGCAAAGTTGCAGAAGTGAAAGGAGTGAAGGCTGACATCTACTGAACAGGAGAAAAGGGAGGGCCAATTTTTCTTCAGTTTTCTTCTCATTCTTTCTCTCTGCAGGGAAAACATAAAATCTATTGCACAGAATCATCTGCTGTAGAAAATTCTTTAAAACCAGCTTTTAAATGTCCATTTATCAGAATGTGGGCATAGCTTTGTTATAGAATCTTTCTTTATAATGATAGTCCTGTAGGGCTCAGTGAAAGGTTAAGTGATTATCATTCATCCATTCATTCATTCATTCCACAAATAACTACTGAGTGCGGAGGATACAAGCAGGGGATGCTACAGAATTCCTGTAGGTTACAAATGGGGTCAGAATGAAGCAATATGACTCCTCTGTGTTTAAAACTGTCGGGGGATGGTTGAGGAACCTCACGGCAATCATGACATGTTTGAAGATACTGAAAAAGATGCCTGATCAATACTGCTTGATTTGCATCACACCCGGAAGCCATCTGGAGAAGCACTTGAACTTTGTTCTCATTGTAAAGCTCTAACTAATGGACTAGTTGGTTCTAGAAGGGGAATGGAAAAAAAAAGAGATGAACATCTGAGAGAGAAAGCACATGAGAGATCAGTTTGAACAGCAAAGTGAATTTGAACAGCAAGGCCTGCTGACTAAAGAGGTAATCATAATACCAGCTACTGTGCAGGCTTCTGTGCACTGTGGCAAGAGGGGAGGCAGGATAGAAGGGAAATGACTAGATCGTTAGGTGCTCCACCCTCACTTGTGACACCCCCTTCTGGCATAAGGAGCCAACAACATTGTTCCACTCACTGCAGAGAGAGACCAGAACAAAGAAAGTGATGGAATTAAGAGTCATGTAGAGGTCCCTGGCAGCATGAGCGTGAGCAAACCAAGGTACCAGAAACACACCTGCCAACAGAGAGAAAGCCTAAAGAGCCTCAGATGCCATTTCCACTTGGACACTTAGAAGGAATACCTGGGGGAGGAGGGGGGCCCTACAGAAAAAAAAATGCTGATCATTTTGCTAATCAGGAGGAAAGCAGCCCCAGATCACTAAGATCTGGGGTATGGCAGGTGAATCTGGGAAATATCCATTATAGATGAAAGAATTAAAATTAGATGTCATATCTTTATAATGAATAGAATAGTTTCAATTGCACCATCCATCTGTAGGGCCCTAATATTTAAAGATATTAAGCTTAGCCCTGGCTGGCATAGCTCAGTGGATTGAGCACGGGCTTCGAACCAAAGTGTTGCAGGTTCGATCCCCAGTAGGGTACATGCCTGGGTTGCAGGACATGACCCCTAGCAACCACACATTGATGTTTCTCTCTCTCTCTCTCTCTATCTATCTATCTCCCCCCCTTCCCTCTCTAAAAGTAAATAAATAAAATCTTAAAAAAAGATATTAAGCTTAATGATCTTTAATAATCTTTAAAGAAGATCACACTAATTGTCTTGAAAAAGATATAGTAGGAGAGATCTTAGTACAACTTCTTTACTGAGAAAGGGTTCAGAAAACATTCCCTTATATATAGTTATTTGCTAGATCACTTATTTGCTATAAATATATCATTAATAACTGGCAAATAACAATAAGTAGGTATTTCTTACATTGTAATGGTTTATGGAACAGTCTTTGAACTATTACTCTGTAAACAGATTAGTCAGTGTTTGGGCTGCTTCCAAATTCACTGGATTTCTAGCACTGGATTAGAAAGCATAACCTTTAAGAAGAAATACAGAACCTAGTTTTTCTAAAGTAAACTTTTTTCTTAAAACAAAAAGATAAACCAATACAACATCCAAAATGCATTTATTAAATGCCTATGACATATCTACCTGGAAATAGATACAAACACAAATGAGACAGAGTCCCTACTTTAAGAAACTCTTGATCTTGGTTTTTGATTAATTTTATTTTTAAACTGTAGTTGACATTCTACATTTTATATTAGTTTCACATATATAGCACAGTGGTCAATAATGTAATTTATAAATTGATCTCCTCATATTTCAAGGCACCATACATAGTTATTACAATATTTTTTACCATATTTTTTATGCTTTACCTTACATTCCTCCAACTACTCTGTAACTACCAACTTGTACTTTTAATCCCTTCACCTTTTTACCCAGTCCTCCAACCCTCCTCCCCTCTGGCTACCATCAGTTTGTTCTCTATACCTATGAGATTGTTTGTTTTGTTTGTTCATTTATTTTGTTTTTTACATTCAGCATATGGTATTTGTCTTTCTCTGGCTGATTTTACTTAGCATAATACCCTCTAGCCCATAAATGCTGTTGCAAATAGTAAGATTTCATTCTTTTCTATGGCTGGGAAATATTCTGTTGTACCACCTCTTCTTTACCCAATTGTCAATTGATGAATGCTTGGGTCGCTTCCATATCTTGGCTATTGTAAATAATGCTGCCATGAAAATAGGGGTGCATATATTTTTTCAAATTAGTGTTTGGGTTTCTTCAAACATATACTCAGAAGTGAAATCTCTGGGTCATAAGGGAGTTCCATTTTTAAGTTTTTGAGGAAACTCCATACTGCTTTCCACTGCAGCTGCACCAATCTGCAATCCTACCAACAGTGCATGAGGGCTCCTTTTTCTCCACAACCTGGCCAACACTTTTAGTTTGTGGATTTATTGATGATGGCCATTCTTGACAGGTGTGAGGTGAGAGCTCATTGTGGTTTTTAATTTGCATTTCTCTGATGATTAGTAACACTGAGTATCTTTTCATGTCTATTGGACATCTGTATGTCCTTTTTAAAAAAGTGTCTATTCAGATCCTCTACCTACTTTTTAAATAGATTGGGGGTTTTTTGGTGTTGAGTTTTATAAGTTCTTTATAAAGTTGGGATATCAACCCCTTACTTATCAGATGTATCATTGTCAAATATGTTCTCCCACTCTGTGGGTCGTCTTTTCATTTGTTGATGATTTCCTTGGCAAAACTTTTTAGTTTGATGTAGTCCCATTACTTTATTTTATTTTGTTTCCCTTGCCTGAGGACATACAGCCAAAAAAAATATTGCTAAGAGAAATGTCAGAGTTTACTGCCTATGTTTCCTTCTAGGGGTTTTATGGTTTTGAGTTTTACATTTTAGTCTTTAATCCATTTGAGTTTATTTTTGTATATGGTATAAAAGTTTTCATTTTTTTTACATACATTTTTCCAATTTTCTGAGTACCTTTTATTGAATTTGATCTTGGTTTTATACTGTACATTCATGAGCCAAACAGTAGGATCAAAGCAAGTTATAAGTTCCTTTCTATAACTTTTTTCTATCACATAAATTTAAATTAAATTTATATGTAAAGGGAACTAAACATTAGGAAACATTGAAATATTTTCATTAAAAAATAAAACCTTAGATTTAAACATGAGATTATATTTAGATCACAGATAAAACACGCTCCTGTATTAAGGCTTATATATACTTCACTATCCCTCTAGATCATCAAATGATTAATTTGGGACCTGTAGTAGTTTGAGCTACATTTCCAAGAATATTATAGATGCTGCTGTAACAAATTAGCATAAAAGGTAGTAGCTTAAAACAACACAAATTTATTATCTTACATGTTTTCAGGTGGAAAATCTGAGAGGATGGGGCTGGTTTCCCTTTTGCAGACATGGTAAGACTGAAATCAAGGTGATGGCTGACTGAGCTCTTACCAGAGGTCTGGAAGACTCTGCTTGCATGTTCACCCAGGTTGTTTGTTAGCTGAATTTAGTTTCTTGCATTTGTAGGACTGAGGTCCCTGTTTCTTTGCTGGCTGTTAGTGGGGGGTCACCCTTAGCTCCAAGAGGTCTCATGCACATCCTTCCTTGGACCCTTATATCTCAGAGATAGTAAAAGTGTGAAAAATCCTTCTAATGCTTGGAATCTCTATGATGTCCCCTCTTGCCACATCCCTTCTCCTTCTTCCACTGTATTTCTCTGAGTGACTCTTCTGCTTTCCTCTTCTATTGCTAAGGGTTCACGTGATTACTTTGGGCCCCTCTGCATAATTCAGGATAACCTTCCAATGTTAAGGTCAGTTGATTAGTAACCTAAAACCCATCTGCAAAGTCCTTTCACAGGACTACCTGGATTAGTATTTGATTGCATTATCAGAGGATAGGAGACTAAGGTGACATCTCTAAAATTCTGCCTACCATGACGTATGCGCATCTGGACAAAATAGGGGACCAAAAGTAACCAAAACTTAACAGTTCTTCTAGACCATGATCTTGTTTATCTGATACCTCAAAATTGACATTAGCCCAAATTGCAAATGTTTATTTGAGAGTTCAGTATTTTGAATATTATACTATAACATGGAGACTATGTAGTAAAATATAGCCACAATAATAATGGAGTACTAAGTGTAGATGCAGGTCAAAGTGGATTGTTGCATTTAACAGTCATGGAGACGATGGCAATCTTTCATTAATGAAAGCAATAACCTGATGTCTGATATTTCAAAGGCAACAAGAATTTTTTGCTATTGATATTTGAGTTTTCCTATTTGTAAAACACATTTGAGCTACATTTCCAAGAATATTATAATTGGTTAAATAAGGATTCAATGTGGATTGCACTATACCTTTCAAAGTGGGTGGGAAGCAGATGAAACTTATCTTCTAGAGCAAGCTTTTAGTCTTTGGCTGGAAAGATAATCTTACTCAGAGAGGAACATCTGGTAAAGTTTATTCAATAGTCCTCACATTGACATTGTGCCTAAGACCTTTTTGTATAATATGTACACATGCTACTAAGTCTATTTAATGATTTTTAAGAACTGGGATATAAGGAATATATTAAAATGTATAAATCAGAAGCCCTGCTAAACTAGTAAAAAAATAAAAGGTCAACTTTTAAATTAGCCGTCTGATAGTATAAAATAACACAGGGAACTCTGCAGAGGACATGCACAAAAATTTGAAGCATCACAAAACAACTGCGCCAGTACATATACTTTATAATATCCAATTAATTAAAACGCAGAAATTAATTCTGTGGGTGGGTGTTGATATTTACCTTCACACTGTATAAAGAAGCATTCAAGAATTAAGATTATTAAGATTACAGAAATTTAAATGGTCACTCTCTTTGGATATTAAAATATTTTAAACACTATTTCAAATGTCATTCCCTTGAATAACAATGTGATAATTACAAATGTCTCATCTGTTATTCAAAGTGATGAGAAATTATGACCTATACTTGTACTGTCCTTTACAGTAGTTTCTAGCCATATGTGATGATTTAAATTTAAATGACTTAAAGTAAAATGAAGAGTTTAGTTATACCAGCCACATTTCAAGTGCTCGGTAGATGCATGTGACTAGTGGTGACTATACTAGGCAGCACTGACAATGGACATTTCCGTCAGTGCAGGAAGTTCTATTGGGCCGCACTGACCTTGCTAAAAACTATTAAATAGCCACTACAATATTAACTGTAGCAATATATAAATTACTTGAGATAAAATGTTAAGTGAAAAGAAACAGGCTTTATAATTTATACATATATGCCATAATTGCACCAACATAAAAATTCGGGGTTAATTTTGTCATTCATACTACTTAGTACTGACTAAATGTCAACACTGTCGGGGGTGGGGAGGGGTTCAAAGGTGAATCAGACCTGCTCTCTGACCTTGAGGGGCCTGAACAAGGAAAGAGTACCACAGAGCTCTGATAGGAATTTGCTTAGAGTGCTGCTCAATGAGGAGCAAAGGAAGCCCCTCAAAAAACAAAGCCACCAGTTTCACCTAGGAGAGGAAATCGAGAAAGGGATTCCAGAAGAGCACTTATTTGATCTGACTGATCTTATTTGATCTGACCTGATTTGAGCACTTTATAATGTGAGCATTGCTTGCCAGACTGGCTGAGGAAGAGGAGAGGAAAAAATGGGTTGCCAGTGAGAAAACGGGCCTTCAGCACTTTTTAAGGGCCAAGACTTGCTTGGGTTTGTAACTTTAGAGGTTAGAACTCCACAAATGCTTTTAAATCTGAACTGAACCAAGGACTGTGAGTGAAGGAAAGCATGAAGATATAATAGGAGCGGGACTGCATGGTATGTTAAAGCCCAGGTGTGAGGAGAAGTAAATCATTTGTCAGGCAACAGAAATGGGCTTAACCCTGTAGTGACTGAAACTGCAAGATTTTAAACAGAAAATAGGCAAAAAGATCAGAAGGAAGGGCTAATAACAGTAGGATTAGGGTTTTCCTTTATACTTATAAGTGATTTTCTTTTCTACTATCCTGTAATATGAGCATATTTGATTTAAAAATCTGTTTGAAAAATAAAAAGACAAATGATTTTGTCATCTACTGGCTTCCCATGATGTGTTTCCATGACAATGCTTTGTTGTCATTTTGCATTACTGCCTAAAAGTAAGAACAATCATAATATTAAGTAGCTTTTACTGAGTTATTTTCTTAGACCACATATTTGCCAAGTATTTTACATGTATTAATTCATATAATCCTTACAAATCTATGAGGTAGCTACTAAAGATCCATTTTACTGATGAAGAAATAGAGGTATTCAGAGGTGAAGAAACTTCACCAATGGTATAAAGGTGTGAAGTGGTACAACCAGAATGTGCAACCAAGCAATCTAATCTCAAGCCTCAAATTCACCTTTTATTAAGTTACTCTGCAAGTCAAAAATTTCACCATTTCATTCTGGTTTGTCCTCGCTCATTACATTTTGGGACCATTCAACTTTCTTGTCTTCTCTTTTTTATTTTTTTAGCATGTTTTTGTTGTTGTTCAAGTACAGTTTTCTGCCTTTTCCCCCCACTCCTCCTCACCTCCTTCCCCTGTTTCCAACACCCTCCCACCCTTGTTATTAACTTTCTTTTCTTAAGACAGATCCTCATTTAGGTGAAAAAGTTAGGTAGGAACAATTCACTTTGAAGAAATCCAAAAACATCAACCCTAGTTATGTGCATATCATGCTCTACTTACTTCCTTAAGTTTTTACTCAAATGTCACTCCCAGAATATGGCCTGGCACAGGTAGATGCTCAAAACATATTTGTGGAATGAATGAATGAATAATTGAATCTTTAAAAAGATTAAACTTTACTCAGTGTGCTGAGATGACTATAGACAGAAAACTATTATTTTATTTAAAAATAAGAAATGGGAGAAATGAAATTTATATTATAGTTCTGCTACAGAAGAAGTCAATTAAGCCATAATACTTTATTCTCTAAGTATTCCAGGTAATCAAAATGTAATAGCTTACCTCTGGATGTTAATAATGAATAAGTCCATGCAGAACACCACTGAGTTGGATGTAAGTGGTCAAAGCAAAAGAAACTGAACTCACTACTTGGCATGGATGAGAAAGGGAGCCTGAGGGTCAAGAATAACAACACTGAGGCCTGTTTCTGAAGTCCATGGGTCCAGGAAGTAAAGGGTGCATTCCAGAAACAGGCATCTATCCTAAGGGAGAAGACAATTTCTGATTTAATTGTTCACTGAATTTGATCTGAAAGTGTGTGAAAGAGCAAGTAGCTAACACAGTCAGAAACAAACGATAAAGCTGAACTACCACTTGTAAGTGGTAGTCGCTTGACTTATTTCTGTGAAGGAAAAGTTCATGAATGAAGAACACTCTAAAAGGCCTCTTCAATGATATGAAATGAAGTTGGGAACAAAAAGAAAAGTTAAGATTCTATTTCTAAAATTAAAACCATCCAAGCAGTTCTTTTCTTCTTTCATAAAATATGTATTCTTTGGTGGTGAAGGGCCTTAATGAACAATTTTACTTTAGAATAATAGTCTTTATAATTCAGGTTCCATTTTTAATAGTCTTGATATAGAAATGTTATTGATTTAAAGGAGCTTATATCAGTCTTTCAAAATTTAAATATATATTATATATTTTATTTTTAATATTTTGAATAACTGAGAAATTAAAAGTATTAAAGAGGGCATTTATATTCATCTCTTCTTACCTGGAGGGTAAGTAAGATGCTGCTCAATGTATAGCCTGTGTTCCACTTATGAGGACTGTCCAAAAAATCTATAAGGGTTGATCAGTATGCTGGTCTACTGTATCAAAATAATATACTAATAGTGATATATGTAATAAAATGATCATTTAGAGCTTATGAACATCAAATATGATAGGTGAAATTAGAAAGCAAATGGCAAAGCAGAAAAATCATGTGCAAAGAATAGGACAGTTAATACAGTGCAGTTGTTAAGAGCAGGCACTTTCATGTCAGACACGCAGATTTGGACACAGACTGTATGTGGTGTTGAGCAGTTCACCTTGCTAATCCCACTTTCCCAATATGTAAAATATGGTTGAGACTAAAGTGCCCTCTCATTGTAAAGAATAAATGAAATAACGTACTCAGTAGAGTGCTTGGTATAGAGTGAGTTCTCAAAAAATAATAGCTACCATTATTAATGATACTTTTACTTTATTAATGTGTAAATAATTTTGATAAATGAACAAGATAAAAATGTATACTCCAATAGAAAAATCTTATTATAAGAACAGAGAAGAAAATTTTGAAAAGGTAAAAGAGGGAACTTTGATTTAATATATTACATTGCTTTGTAAAACCACAATAATTATAACAGTGCAGTGGGGCATGAGATTAGATAGAACAATGTAATAAGAGAGTTTAGAAACAAATTCTAGCATATAGTAAAACTGTTTTATGTTAAAAGTGAAATTATGATTCAGTAGTGAAAGAAAAGATGATCAAAAATGGTAAAAATTTGTTGCTGCAAAACATTCCTTGTCCTTCAATGTCTGCTCTTCCTTTTTCCCATTTCTTCTCTCTGTAATGAGAATATACCTGTCCCCAACTCCCACCACCCTATGCTGTTTAGATGAATACAGGGTTGCTCAGACTACTTTCCCAAGCTTCTCTAGCAAGAAGCCATGTGACTAAGTTTTAACTATGGGATATCAGCACAAGTAAAGCATACAACTTCTGGATATTTTCTTAAGGAAATTTTTTTGCCCTCTTTTTCTTTCCCCCTTTTCACTGCCTGAAAATGATGACAAACAGTAAATGCCTCAGATCCAGACATAGAAGCCGTATGTTGAGAATGGCAACCCCCCCCCCCCGCCCCGCAAATTTTGTTCTATTGCATATAGATTGGAAAGATACAGAGAAGCTTGGCTGTATTTTTAAAAAAATGAACAGAGTTAAATATGAAAAAATAAAAAATAGAATAGAAGAAAGTTAAAATAATTTCATTGTGTTTTGAGGAAAGACCATCTAAACTTAAAGATAACTATAAAAATCTCAAAGGACCAGACTAATAAATATGACTATATAAAAATTTTTAAATTCCAGATGTAAAAATATCAACAAAACTTAAAAATTAATGACAAATGAAAAAATATTTGCAACATATAGAACAATGTGATAACATTATTAAATAACTCTACAGTTCCCAAAAAAGCACAATCAAGAGACATGAAAAATGATGTTAGACTCACAAGTATTCAAAAAAGTACATATTAGCCCTGGCTGGCGTAGCTCAGTGGATGGAGCGCGGGCTGGGAACCAAAGTGTCCCAGGTTCGATTCCCAGCCAGGGTACATGCCTGGGTTGCAGGCCATAACCCCCAGCAACCGCACATTGATGTTTCTCTCTCTCTCTCTCTCTCTCTCCCTCCCTTCCCTCTCTGAAAATAAAATAAATAAAATCTTTAAAAAAAAAAAGTACATATTAAAATAACAGAAAGATTCTGCCCTGGCTGGTGTGGCTCAGTGGATGGGTGCCAGCCTGCAAATCAAAGGGTCACTGGTTCAATTCTCAGTCTAGGGCACGTGCCTGGGTTAGCGGCCAGGTCCCCTGGGGTGGGAGCCGTGCGAGAGGCAACCACACATTAATGTTTCTCTCCCTCTCTTTCTCCCTCCCTTCCTGTTGGGAACCGCCCTGACTGGTATTAGAAGCTGAAACCCCCGCCTAGGCTAAGGCTAAGGGAACGCCCTTAGAACCGTAAGCCAGCAAAGAGACAAAAGCTTATCTCCATGGCAGGAATGCTGCTTCTGCTGCTTTATTCATAACTGAACCCCAAAAAGCTTGGTCGGTTAGCCAAAGACGGGTAAGATTCCCCACGGGGGGAACGACCTAAGACAGGCACAATCACTTTGGGAGGCCCCCCAAAAGAAGGACTTGGGGGGCTGCAGCAAAAGGGGGTGATGGACCCTCGTTCCTCGGCTTTGACATAGCCTGAGTTCTCAGCGTCTGGGAAAAAACCTCCTTGTCTCCCAGTTGCCTTAATTCCCTTGCTCCACCTAAGCCTGAAACAATGACAGGGTGGTGCAGCTCTGTACTGAGAAGTGCGGATTCCCCGGGGTGATCAGGCCTAAGAAAGAACATGTAAATTACTGTGAAACCTTCTTTGTTTAGAATGCTCTCAGTTGAATGAGAGGGGTCTTAGGAGGAAGTTATTCTTAGGAGGAAGTTCCTCAGTCTTACAGCTCTTTGACCCCCAACTCAATAGACCGGCAGAGTTCTTTGTTTTCTATGTTTCCTTACTTCCCCCTAATGAGTACTGTACTTTACCTGAATTATTATGCAGAATGAGCCCAATAAAAGCAGGTATGGACTGTAAATCAGCACGCTCCCCACTAGGGGGGGTGGCCATTTCGTCCCTACTTCTCCACAGAAACTAGTCTGTCTCTGTGCATGTCGTTTTTTCTCGCGTGTTTATCGTTGAGCCATCCGCAGCGTTCCGTGGTCACTGCTGGCCGGGGACCCACACATCACCTTCCCCTCTCTAAAATATAAATAAATAAAATCTTTAAAAAATTTAAAATAACAGAAAGATTCTTAGTAAATTGGCAAAAATGATTTCTCCAAAGTTTTAATCCCAGAATTAGAGAGCAATAAATGAGAACTTTATGTACACTTCCTGGTGGGATTGCAAATACCATCACTGAAAGGCAATTAGGTTTTATGCATCTAAAATAAAGACTTAGAACTAAACAGAGCCAGTTTTTGGTTTGTGGTGTCTAATAAATAACACCCCTCTCTCCAAGGTTTGTATATAATAAAACAGACCAGAGTATCAAAAGATGCAAGTAAAAAATATTGACTTTATGAAAGACTGAAATAAAGAATGCTGATCAATGCTTTAATCAAGCTCTACAAAAGCCCTCCTGATTTGAACTTACTCCCTCCACTGGAGGACGGCCTTGGTTTCCTGTCTGATGAAACAGAGACTGCACCCATTCTAAGGGCAGGCTTATTGGGAAAAAATTTTTGAGAAAGTGCTGAGCCACATGTGCTCAATTCTTTCTCATATCCCCACAGTTAGATAAAGGAGAGAAAAAAGAGCAATCACAAGTTTTCCCATATATCTTCCTCCTCTTTATTAATGCATAAAAATCCAACAGATTTTTGTGTATTGATTTTGTATTCTGCAACTTTACCAAACTTTTTTATTCCAACAGTTTTTGAGGGGAGCCTTTACTAATATTTTCTATAAACAATATTATTTCATCTGTAAATGACAGTTTTACTTCTTCCTTCCCAATTTGGATGTCTTTTATTTCTTTTTCTTACCTAATTGCTTTGGATAGAACTTTCAATACTATGTTGAATAAAAGTGCTGAGAGTGGGCATCCTTGTATTGTTCCTGATTTTACTTTACACACTTTTATGTAGTTTTACTCAAGTACCTTATTATGGATGTAATTAAGACCTTAAAGAATAAAGTAAAATTTATGATACAAAATTAGTTGTACATATTTGTCATTATTTGCTTAAAATAAACACTTTAATACAGGGGATTACTGGATTAAATACAGTAATTAAAAAATAGGGAAAGGTTTGCTTATCCCCTGTCCTTCTTCACTCCTTGCATTTCCAGAGAGTAGATCTTTCTTGTTCTGTTTAAGAGCAATATATGTAAAGCTATAGGATATTTCACTTAAAATTTTCTATATTAATGGATATTGGAATTATTTCCTTTTATCTGTTGTTATTGGGATCAAATACTTTTTAAAATATACTCTTATGAGTAATTTATAAACATGGTATTACAGGGATTTAGGATTATTTGCATTTTATATCTGATTAGAAACTGTCAGATTGCTTCCCTAAAAGGTCCTTCACACTAAGGACATCATGCTAGAGTACCCACATTTCTAATAAAAATGTTATTTCAATATTCTATAAACATAAATGATGAATCACAATTTTTATGCATTTTATATGCAGTTTTAATATGCATTATCTTCTTGCTAATGAGACTGAACATATTTTTATATTTATTTTTATTATGTTTCTTTTATCAATGTTTGTTTATAGTCTGTCTATTTTTTATTGCTTTATGTTATTTTTCTTGATGATTCACAAATACTCTTTATATGTCACAGATATTGTTTTATGTGTTGCAGATATTTTCTCTCAGTTTGCAAATTAACATATTTTGCCTCTGTTTATATCATTGATTGTAGAGAAGTTTTGAAAAGTTTATGTATTTTAATGTGCTATGCTTTTTCCATGTTTTTTAGATTTTATCATGGTTAGAAAGGCCTTCTTTACCAAGCCCATAAAAAGTTCCATTAAATTTTCTTCTTTTTAGCATTTAAAATTTTTATTTTTTTTATCTATCAAAAATACATTCTGTGTATAACTTAAAGTAGCAATCTAACATATTTTTATCTAAAATGTTAATTTGTCAGTATATCATATTTTATAACATTAGAAATTAGTCCAACTAAAATACTGAACAATACAGGAATGGTTAAGTTTATCATTCAGTAATTAAAAATGATCTTTTAAAGAATGTTTAATAATGCAGTGATAAGCTTATGTAATACTAAGTAAAACTTTATATCTAATACTCCAACTATGTAGGAAAAATACATAGAAAAAAGGAAATAAATTTAGTTAAATGTTGAGAGTAGTGTCTCCTTGAATTAGTGTTCAAATGACACTTCTTTTTATTTTCTCCAATAAGCATGCTTACTTTTATAATCATAACAAAGTTGTTAAGAAGAAACATCATTAAACACTGATACAGAACAAGGATAATAGGGCTCCTAATGATAAAAGTCTCATCTGGTCCTTACCATTTGGATGAAAAGGTATGGTTCTAAATGTCACAACTGGAGGGACAAAATTATATTCTGATGTAAAATTTATCATCGGTTGGAAGAATAGTCCTATGAAATAAGAATAAACATTTTTACTAAAGTGTCACATTGTACTGGTTAACTGTAACCTGATTAACACTAAGGTTTCTTCCCACAGTTTAGCCTCTCAAGGGCCCTAGAGTTTTATTCTTAAGTAAATTCATCATAGGGTGCACAGACCCCTCTTGCTAGTATAATACACTCCTCAAAATCTAATCCTACTATTTTATCAGCCTGTTTCTTGTCCACTAACTGTTCCCTCACACCTTCCCCATTCATTGTGTGTCTCGTATTGACTGAACTCACCGTTCCAGAACTTGGTGCATCCTCTCTGTGCCATGCTGTTTATTCTGCCTGAATTTCCTTCCATTCCTTCCAAACCTGGCAAATGCTAATGCATTCTTTAGGACTCAATTCAAATGTCACTTCCTTACAGAGCTATTCTTGACTCTTCAAGGCAAAATTAACTAATCACTTCCTCCTTGGCATTCTGTTCATAATCTTAATAGCATATAACATATTTTATTGTAATTATCCACTTTACATGTTCTCCCCTACTTCACTCAACATATCTAGCTTATTAATTCACTACTGAAAAGAATGTGTGATTACTAAGTTTTTATTTTTATTTATTTATTTTATTTTTAGAGAGGGAAGGGAGGGAGAAAGAGAGAGAGAGAGAAAGATCAATGTGCCATTGCTGGGGGCCATGGCCTGCAACCCAGGCATGTGCCCTGACTGGGAATCAAACCTGCGATGGTTTGGTTCGCAGTCTGAGCTCAATCCACTGAGCTATGCCAGCCAGGGCTCATGATTACTAAGTTTTATATTGGTCCAGTCTTCTTGTAAATTTGATTTATGGCAATTTTGGGAAAATCATGGAGAATACAAATGAGAGATAATTGTGAAAAATGTTTTTATTTTTTACTTTTAAGTATATTTTATTGATTATGCTATTACAATTGTCCCAATTTTTTTTTCCCCTTTATCACCCATCCATGCTATACCCTCCCACCCTCCAGCATCCACCTCCTCACCTTAGTTCATGCCCATGGGTTGTACATATAAGTTCTTTGGCTTCTCTGTTTCCTATACCATTCTTAACTTCTCCCTGTCTATTTTATGTCTACAAATTCTTCTTCTTATTCCCTGTACCTTTCCCCCACATTCTTCCCTTCTCCCTCCTCGCTGATAACCCTCCATGTGATCTCCATTTCCCTGGTTTAGAACAGGAACAGTTCCTGCTTAGTTTTGTTTTTTTTTTAGATTTGGTTGTTGATAGTTGTGAGTTTGTTGTCGTTTTACTATTCATATTTTTGATCTTCTATTTCTTAGATAAGTCCCTTTAACATTTCATTTTATAAGGGTGTGGTGATGATGAACTCCTTTATCTTGACCTTATCCGGGAAGCACTATATCTGCCCTTCCATTCCAAATGATAGCTTTGGTGGATAGAGTCATCTTGGATGTAGATCCCTGCCTTTCATGACTTCAAATACTTCTTTCCAGCCTGTTCTTGCCAGTAAGGTTTCTTTGGAGAAATCAGCTGATAGCCTTATGGGAACTCCTTTGTAGGTAACTGTCTCCTCTCCTCTTGCTGCTTTTAAGATTCTCTCTTTATGTTTAATCTTGGGTAACTTAATGATGATGTGCCTTGGTGTGTGCTTCCTTGGGTCCAATTTCTTTGGGACTCTCTGGGTTCCTGGACTTCCTGGAAGTCTATTTCTTTTACCAAATTGGGGACGTTTTCCTTCATTATTTGTTCAAATAAGTTTTCAATTTCTTGCTTTTGTTCTTCTCCTTTTGGCAGCCCTATGATTTGGGTGTTAGAGTGTTTAAAGTTGTCCCTGAGGTTCCTAAGCCACTCCTCACTTTTTTGGAATTCTTGTTTCTCTGTTCTGTTCTGGTTGGATGTTTATTTCTTCCTTTTGTTCCAAATTGTTGACTTGAGTCCTGGTTGCCTTCCCTTCACTGTTGGTTCCCTGTATATTTTGCTTTATCTCACCTTGAGTAGCCTTCAGTTCTTCCTTCATTTTGTGACCAAGCTCAATCAGTTCTGTGAGCATCCTGATTACCAGTGTTTTGAACCATGCATCAGATAGGTTGTCTGTCTCCTTGTTGCTTAGTTCTTTCTCTGGAGTTTTGATCTGATCTTTCATTTGGGCCGTATTTCTTTGTCTCAGAGAACCTGTTATATTGTAAGGGAGCATGGCCTTAGGTATTCACCAGGGCAGGGCAACCCTCTTTGCTGTGTTGTGGTGCTCTCTGCGGAGGAGGGGTCAGAAAGGGCACAATGCTGCTAAATTGCTCTGCTCTAGCCCTACTTTCCAACAACCTCTCTTGTGAGACTGGGAGTTTCTCCCACTATGGCAACCCCCTCAGTATTTTGCAGCTGTCTTTGAGTCTTAGTTCCCCATTCAGCCAGCCCTGCCTTGCCTGTGTGGTCTGCAGCTTTGCTGCTCGTGCTCTCCCTTCGGCTGCCAATCTCCCGTCTCTGACCCTCCTACTGGCCTGGGTGAATGTTTCTTTAACTCCTTCATTGTCAGAGTTCCATGCAGTTTGATTTTCTGGCACTTTTGGTTGCTTATTGTTTTTAAATTGGTTGTTATCTTTCTTTTGGTTGTGCGAGGAAGTGAAACTTTTCTACCTACTCCTTTATCTAGGCCAGAACTCCCTAATTGTGAAATTTTGATGTCAAAAATAATTTTGATAGCTATTCTCTGATTTCATGGAAGAGTGTAAGGAGATACTCTCAACCATTATGCTTTATTGTGCCTGTTACTTAATGTAATAACATTAAGATTTGGCATAAAGAAAAACTCAAACCTAAAATTTCGATTTGTGTTGGCCAATGGCAAAATTAAGCCTTTTAATGAAAAAATCACATGTAAATACTTTTGGAATTCTAGAATATTTATATAATGCAACCTTATTTTGCACATAAAGAAGATGGGCTAAAATGGCATAAAGGCTTTTTAAAAAGTAGATTGATTTTGAACATACATACCCTGCCAAATTGTGTTCTGTAGACCTTCAACATAAGCTTCCCATTCCATCATATCTTCACTTACAGGAAAGGCAGTGATACCCTTTAATTAAGAAAACAATTCAAACCAGTAAAAAGATTAAATATTTACTGCAGCTTTGAAAATTAGATACCAGGTTACAAGGAACTCCAACAATGCTACATTTTCTTTTCCTGATGAATTTATTCATTTGCTGATTTGGGGAAGTATTGTATTGTGTGTTATTACACAGCTGTTAAGGTAGATTCCAGGAAGCACACACAACAGTAAATTAAAAATAAAGCATAAGTGTGGAAATCCCAAGTGGGAGTAGAAGATCAAGACTGTGATGTGTGGCTTATTTAAGTCAATAGCCAATCTAAGATTCAAATTAGAAGAGAAGGAAATAATTGAAAAGCATGAGTTTCTTCAGAGCTTTTTAAAACTATTGGTTTGGCCAAAAAGTCTGTTATGTTTTTTCCAGAAAATAAGAGACATTTTTCATTTTCACCAGTAACTTGATGATTGGGATAGTTTGAGTATGTTGGCTATCTCCTGCTATTTGTTTCTAGTGGGTAGAGGCCAGGGGTGATGCTAAAAACATCTTCTAATGCATAAGACAGCATACAGTAAATAATTTTTTTTTTGCCAAAATGTGAGTAGTATCAAGATACTTCACCAACCACTTTGGACACATCTGATTAGTCACAGCACCTTCGCCATACACAGCAACAAATCTTTTTTGCATTTCAATTGCATTTTTACCTTGGAGTTAAATTGCATTTAACATGGAGAACTTTATTGGTGGCACTTGAAGTAAAGCCTTCCTCTGTGTTAAAATTATAAGGGGAAGGCACCTATGTATTGTGATAGTGATGGGGGACTCAACTGTTGGAAAATTTTAGGTAGTAGCTAATATGCTTAGTAATCAATGCATGTAAACGCTATTGTTCCAGGAACTGAAGGTGCGACCCACCCTGACTCCAGGAGACCACAAGCAGTTCTATCTTTGTGTGTCAGGAGGACTGCAAGCAATCAAGATGGTATCTGAGCCCTTGTGCTCCAGGGTGAGATGCCCACTGCCCAGGACACAGATGAAAGAATGCTGCAGCTTTTATCTGATTAATTTCCCCCCTGAATTCTAAACCTCTTACCCACACTTTTCTTCTCCGTATAGAAAGGGTCAGTTGAAAACACAATGTACGATGGTCTGTTAGGGTACAAACTCCCTGTCTTACCAGATCACCAGCCATCAGAATAAAGCACCCATAAAGGTTCAATCCCTGTCTCTGTTTATTGGGTCTGGTAGGTGACGGTCTGGATGGACACCGGCTTTTCCCATTTCAATAGCCACTGGCAAAAAGTGCACTCTACAGTAAGTAGTGCAGTAGTAGTAGTAGAAAAGAAGACTTAGGAGCAAAGGGTTTGGGAGTTAGAACACTCAATGATAGAATCCTGAGGCCAAATATTTACTGGGCCTTTCTGAGGCTTAAGATTCTGGTAGGTAAAACAAAAGACTACTTATAGTATTGCAATTAATGAGAGCAGCCTTGCACCTATAGTCACCTACTATCTGATTGACCCTGATATTTAGGGCTGAAATCCATATAAATTACTCAGCACAGTGTGCTCAATGTTGTTAACTATTATTATTATGAATTAATTATTATTATGAATGGGTTGTTACAATAAAGTAGATTTGTTAAACAACAATACTGTAGTGGTAAATTAGGTTTACCTAAATTATGCCTTATAGCATAAACACAGATCAAACTGCTTTTTAAAGGTTTTGTCCCAGTGAAACCCATCACTGAGTTCCTCATCCTCACCTCATAGTTGTTCTCTTTCAACTCTTGGAAGTCTCTTTGCAGCAGGAAGTAAGCTCTGCAGGACATGATAAGGCAGCAAAGGGTCTAGCATTTGTGTTTACCCTCCTAGGGTTTACTCTGAGGCAGATGTGTTAGGTTACCAGTCACCCTCCACACCTGGTTAACTAAGTTCCTTGCTTTCTAGCATCGCAGAATGCTGTGTGCTCCCAAGATAAATGGGTTTTAAGTTGGGTATATAACAGGGACGTTCTTTTCTCCTCTGACTCCTCCAAACTAAGTGTTCCAGAGGGAAAAGTTGGGCACGTTCTTGACTGTGGCGTGTCACCCCACAGCCCAGTCTCAAGGCAAACTGGGACCAGCACCTGAGACAACCCCGAGTTGTTGGTGCAAAAAGTGAACGTAAGAGTCATAAGCTGATGGATAGCCGCAAGCTTCGTTCCTCTTCACAGGTGTATGGTGTCCTTGAAGCTGGAGGATGCAAATCAGTTGCCAAGCAACAGGATCCTCCCAGAAAGTAACGAGATGGTTGTGGGAGTTTGACAATCTCTTATCCAATCAGCGACAGGGGGCAGGCCTCTAGAAGGCTCCGCAACCAATTGTTCAATGCTCTTCCACTTTGAAAGACCAATGAGATCCGTTGTCAAGTCCTCGCCTCTAAGTCCACCAAGGTGGACTCTACCTAACCAGAGTACAAGGACAGGGTGAAGTCCCGGGATCCAGCAAGTAAGTCACAGAAGCCCTCAAGTCCATCTCCAAAATGATCCTTTCTTTTTCTTTGAGTATCAGAAATTATCAGGTAATAAAGTGACCAGTAGGTACAGGTATGTGCATATTAATAACAATATCTTAACTTATGGCAAGCTACCATTCAAAATACGTTCAGACATAATATTGTGTCATGGAATCCTACAGTTACCCTGAGAGAATTCTCCAGGAACAGAGATCTATTTATAATTTCTCAGATTCCCATCTCTTGCAGGATTTTTGGACAGTATCCCAGCAGACCTATATTTTAGTAGCCTACATAGCCTTGAAGACGTTACTTAGCCTCCCTGTGCTTAAATTTTCTCAAGTATTGGCTCAAATATGCAGCCAATAATAATACCTACCTCACTGGATTATTATGAGATTTCTTAAAAATGCCTGACAAGCCCTCACTCATTGCCTACAGCACAGGTGGCAAACACAAGGCTTGAGGCTCAAATCTGGCCCTCCACCTTGTTTTATCCGCTCAGCACCTTCTTTCTACTCGTCAGCAGCGCCGGGCTCCTTGCCCCCAGTTAAGGGGTAGTTACATTTACACTGTCCTAAAATTACATTTGGCCCTCTGAAGGCAACCACGAGGCTGATGTGGCCCCCGGTGAAAATGAGTTTGACCCCCCTGGCCTAGAGTAAGTGACAGTCAACACCTCACTTACCATGTGCTGGGAACACTATTTTAAATGTTTTGCAGAGATTAACTTTATCTTCTAAAACAACTCTATAAGGTAGGTGCACTTATGATTCTAATTTTTACAGTATGGGAAACCAAGGCACACAGATGCCAGGTACTTTGCCTTCGGTCACACAGCTGGAACGCAGTGCAGCCAGGATGCAGACTCCAGGATACCTAGCTCCAGAGTCCATGCCTTTAACCCCCAGGCAACCCTGCCTCACAAAGGTCTCCTGTTGTCCCACGAGAGCTGTCTAGCCCTCTAATAAAGTAGAGCTATTCTCAATAGCTTTCATCGTGCATATGTTGTTTTTGTGTTTATTGTATTTGGTGTTTATTTTTGGCTGCATTTCTACCTGTTGACCAAAATATGAACCTAAGAAAGCTGGACCACTGCTGTATAAAATAGTGCCTGGCACATAATAAAGACCCAATATATATCTGTAAATATTTGTTTTGTCTTTTAAATTTATTAAGAAATCTGACTCCTGTAACCTATGAATGTATTTGTAGTATTCTGAATGTAGCTCAAAATACCAATTACTAAATATATTATATGAACTTTTAGTACTTGTGTAACTTCAAATGGAGAGTAAATTTAATTAAGTCCTACTATATGCTTTTTGGTTTTTTTCTCACAGTCTTTCCCTCTGAAATTAGGCCTAGGGAATTGAAAAGAGAAATGTTGCATTGTATTTTTATGGTAGGCAGAATTCTGAGATGAGCTTGAAGATCTCTAGGCCATGCATTATCTTTGGAACTTGCATATGAATGGATTTCACTTTGATTAAGTTAAGTTATATGGCACAGTTAACGTTAAGAGACAGAATGTGGGGGTGAGCCTGACCTAATCAGGTGAGCCTTAATTGAGACTGGGCTCTTCCTAAAGTCAGTAATTCAAAGTGAGAAAAGGATTCCATGTGAGGAAGATTCTCTATTGCTATCTTTGAAAATGAAAGGGGCCATGTGACAAGGGATGTGGGCAGTTTCTTGGAGGTGAGAGTGGCTATTGGCTGACAGCAAGGGAATGGGGCCTCAGCCCTGTAAACAAGTGACTGAATTCTGCCACAACCACAAGAGCTTGGAACATGACCTGAACCCCAGGTTAGAACACAACCTAGCCACCACCTACTGAAACCCTGAGCAGAAATTTCAGCTACACTGTGCCCATATTGTTTTAAGATAGTAAGTTTGTGGTAGTCTGTTACACAGCAATAGCTAACTAATACAACTTCTTACCTAGCGTGTTCAGCTATTGACCAAGCAAAGTATGTGACAAGAGGACACTCACTCACAAATTTAGTGTGAAAAGCACTTGATGCCAATTACTAGACATTAACATATATCATTAGATGGGGTTAGGGGATAAGACGGGTATGGCATCCTGAAAAATGAAGACTGAAATGAAGACTGTGCATGAAGACTCATGTACAGATTTTCATCATCCTAAGTGAGCAAGGTAACTGAAAGTGCAATTAACACTGGTAAAGTTACTGAGGCCATCTCCAGCTTTGACATCAAGCACCCCCCCCCCACCACCTCTTTTTAAAAAACAATTCTTTCTCCCAGGACTTGAACAGATGTTTTCATTTTACTTAAAGTATAAGACTGTTTTCCTTGTCCACCAGGAATATGTACCAGTACACAGTGTTAACCTCGTTTGGATTTGAACCCCCTCCTCAAGAGCAAAGGAAGGCTGAGGATCGCCAAATGTCAGCTCAGCTGTGAGATGTGTTTTAAATCATATTTTGACGTATGGTTACGCTGTTAACTAGAGAATGAAGTGCAGCACACATGCTTCTAGTAACTCTGGTTTCCAATCATATGATCCCTCTTTTGTCTTGAAGACCTTTTGATGTACATACCCATACGGAGTTTCTCTGCTTTTAATAATGATATTCCTTTCTCAATATAAATGTCATGAAAAATACTGAATGCTAATCTTCAGAGATCAAACAGGAAGAAAGAGGTGGGCAGCTTACTTCAGTGACTTGAATTTCTGAAATTTCTCATTTTAAAATTTTATTTTTCTCTTATAAAAATCTGGGCTCCAAGAAATGCTTGGTTCTTCTGTGCAAAGTTGAAATGTGAGCTCCCCTCAATTTCAGGTTTGTGTTAATTACAACGTACTTCAGTCGCTCCCTGTAAGGCACCTGAGATACCGGGGCCAGTCAGTGATCACTACGTATGTTTATATTTGTGTCTACTTATCAGAGAGGAACTCAGAATCAGTACATGCATGCTGGCTTTTATTTCACATTCTTGGCATTAGCTAGGGTGACCAAGAGTCCACCTTTGCCTGGGAACTGGGGGCTTCGAGTACTAAAATTGGGATACTCCCTGGCAAACTGGCACAGTTACTCTAGTGTGGCATCAAGGGAGTTTTCAGGGTGGGAATTGTGTAGACGACTTGGTGAAAGCTTCTTGTTGTTGCTGTTTTTGGGCCTTGGTGCTTAAAGGAACATATTTCATTTTCTATAGCAGCCTGATGACCAAACCCTATAATCAAAGTTCTACAAAGTAATGCTCAGAATTCCTTTAGAGAGGATCTTGGGGGGGGGGGGGGCGCGTTATGACAAAGGAATGCAATGCCTGCCTGGGAACTTTACATGTTTTAGGAGAATCAGGTCTCTTTTTATTTCATTCCTCACAGAGGAACACCAATCACTGAGAGATACTGTACTTGCAAGAATAACATCTAAGCACAGTTGTGATGGTTAAAGGCATGAGGGGTGTGGGAGGGGGAAAGGCTTAAAAGGTGTGATTATTTTCTGCTTCCTTCACATATATTGGTTTAGTTACCCTTTTCATACTCAGTTGCCCTAAGGATAATTCCAAAATTTCAGCACGGGAGTTTTGAGGTGGCAACTGGTTCTGAGCAGGTGTGAGGGATGACCTATGGTTTAGGAATGGCTTGAGGCAGTGATTTTCAATAGGTGTGCCGTAAGAATTTTTAGAACATGTGATACCTGACTATTTACAGGGGCACCGACCTCTTTTCTCTTAGATTGCCACATGAAAAATGGCAACAGCCCACACAATAGCCAGCCGGTGTGAATGAATCAAAATTATACCTATTTTTTGGTCAGATTGGCAAGAAAGACATTTCTTATGCTGGAAAATTTCAGTAATTATTATAGTTCATGGGCGCCACCAGATGAAAAAGGTTGAAAATCGCTGGCATAGGATGTATCTTGAAGCCATTTTTACTCAGCGTATGTTTATTAGGGGTATTGTTTGAAGGGCGGTGATGGAAATTATTGAGGGGCCAAGCCCACCCCCACCTCGTGGGCATTAGTACTGGGTGTTCTACATTATGGTATACACATAAAAAATAGAATATTTTGTGCTTTAAATTTTATACCATGATAAAAAATAGTGTATTCCTGTATAAAAAATTGCGTAAACTACATTGAATAGTAGCAATGTTACCACTTTCTGAGCACTTGCTGTGTGCCAAATACATCTCATATATTTTCATATATTCTCTTTAACTGCAAAAGACAAGTATTATAGAAAAAATTATAAAATTGCAGACTGTTTCTAGAGAACTTTTGTCACTCTTCTCTGCAGCTTACATGAATTAGCTCATTTATGTTATTTCAATTCTAAAGTAGGTACTTTTTTCAGATGA